GACAGCAAACTTATATCAGCACCGCGGAGAAGACGGGTTGATTAAAAATGGAGTTCCTGAAGTGTGGAGAAAGAAGGAACCTCCAGATAAAAGGACATTACTGAGCTTCTGCTTAGAATGCCTACATGATTCTAGGACTAAGGACTTAGCCTGGAAGAATGGACATATGGTGACTGTACAACGATGCAGGACATCTAGATTCCACAAGGAATATTGGCGAAGGAAACATTGGGACAGAAAGGAGCTGAGAAGTGAAATAAACTTCTTGGAAATCACTGAGTGTCTAAACATTGGCCATAGCGAGCTACGACCAAAATCAACCGTGGGCCTATGTGACGAAATGACCTCAGTGGTCTCAGAAGTTATATTGTGTTTAATAATTTCTTATGTTCAGAGAAGGACAAAGAATTAAAAGCAATAGACACTGAGCCTAAAATAGTTCTAAAACCACTACAAGGGATTTGAGAATTGTTTAAACTGTGTTTCCAATCTCTAGCTAGACAAAGCAACCTTGCTTTATGTAATGTTACCTAATACTACTGTAGCTAGAGTTTCTCATGTCTATGTCATAAATTTTATCTCCTGCCCAGTCTGTAGAGGCAAGTAAAGGGGGAGATAACTTCGTATCACACCTCAGATTAGCTCCCCTGAATCCGACCGTAGTGTCATAAAAAGTTACATAACACAGACTGAGGGGCTCCTTTTGAACAGGATAGATCAGGGGAATTAAGTGGTCCGGTAGACATTTCTAGGCAGGATGACGTCCAGCGTCGGAAGTTTCACACCTGATAGTGAAATTCTCAAGAGAACAGATGTTTGGCAATTAGGAATGTTTAATCTTGGTCAAGGTCGTACTGTAGGCCGTTCACTGTGAGTGACAGGCCCATTGATAGCTAGGTTGATCTAATAGGTACCTCAGAGGCGGGGCTTAGGTCATCTCCTTTAGGGTTGGGTAGAACCGAGAAGAGGGTGGAGTTAAACCTTGCAGACAGATAGGGGTATTAATAAGACAAGCCCTGGAATTCCCGTCATAATCGCTGCCACGAGCAAACAAACAGGTCGACCTTAGAGGTAATTCTAATGGTTTGATTCTAGTTTGGCGATAGCTGGAAGTTTCCAGGTAAGCCTGTACAATTATTTTCAATCTTGTATACATAGGTTAGGGAGTTAGCTAAAATCTATTCTACCTTTTCCTATTTGTCTACACATTCTGCTTGAAATAGTTCTTTGTGAGTATTCAGTATCTCAATTAGGGAACTGCTAAACTATCTCTATTTCTGGTATGTTTGTGGCACATGTTTTACAGTGTACGTTTTCATGTTTATAAAATAAGACTTGTATAATGAAATGTAATGAAATTATAATGTTTCAACCATCAACCAAAACATGGGTTTGGACTGTGGGAAATGATGCCCACATATGCAACCATGCTGTTACATTTTGTGTGCCCACCATGTGCTCACCTAATGTGTTCACCCGAACAGGGGATTGATAACCCCAGTGGAAGAATCATGAGTGTATATTATTCACTGTCACTGAAAGATAATATTCACGACAGCATGCTCGTATAAAATGTTTGGCGTGTTCAGCACATAACCTGCGCCACATGTTTATGTCAAATCAATGTCAGCAAGTTGGAAGTCTGAGTGATGACGGACAACAGAAAGTCAACTATCATGACAGAACCTTAGAGGGAAGGCAGGATATGTGAGACGTCGATTGTGAGACACAAAGACCTTCAGATTAGACTGGAGAGAATGTGGAATATGAGGAGGAGTGATGAGATATAATGTTTTATTATATATTGTATTAATTGACACATGTATTCTTAGTGTAAGTCAAGATACTACACGTATGTGTGTGTTTCCATTATTGCAGCTCCCATGTGGGTGAGGATCAGTCGTTTCTAAAAACAGAAATAGAGGGTCATCACGGTCACGAGACTACATTGTGTTAGAACTCGGCCAGCTGGAGAAACAGGTGGGAACCAGGGAACCAGGTGGAAGGACCAGGAGAACTGGGCGGAAAGATTGGAACAGCTAAGAAGGGACTCAACACGAGGACTCTCAGAGGTTCCACTTTCTAAAGTTATGTAACATGTATTTATGTAACTAAACACCACCATTATCATTCTAATCTTAGGTGCTCAGTTATCTAGCTGAAACATCTCATTACCACCATACCATCACTATCTATTATAACAATAATGATGACTAATGTCATACTCTGATTGCTAGGTTAATAAATCAAATATATGGTCTTATCCTGCATCAGTTTTTTGTAATTCCAAATGTGTCTGTTCTTACACGTTTAATTAAACAAATAAGATAGAATAGCATTTGGTGGGGGCTTATTAAATAATAATAATAATAATTCTGTACCAAGAGAAGGTCGACGGATTGGGTCAACTGCCCTGTCTAGTAAATAATTCAAAATAATAATATATAGACATCTAAAACCCATTTCCTTCTCTTGTGGGTACCAAGTTCAGCTAAAGTTAATATAAATAACGAGCCAATATGGCTGTTTTCTTGGATATCCAGGACTTTGTCTGAGAGCAACATAGCCCAGATAATAGTTCAGTTAATCTGGTGGAGGGGATGTGTTGAGAGGAAAATCCCTACTCAACATATAAATCATTTAAACCCAAATCCAGAGAACCCACGACCCGGGACGTCACACTGAAAGTGTTGTAATCTCAAAGGGAGTGGGCCGTAACGTCACAACGTTTAAAAAAGGTTTTAACAGAGAAAACTGCTACTGAACAAGCACAAAAATATTTATGTTAATTAGGTAGGTTAACAAAGTGATTTTGCTTTCTGCCATATACTCTGAAGGTTGTTGGTTCAGTTTTGAACTTTGTCATTCCATTCGTGAGTGTAGGTGTTCTGGAGATCCTATGAGATCATTACTGGAGCTACTGCATTTCATACTTTGGACAATGTTCTCAGCTGGTAACTAGTCATCTGCAGACGGAGACACAGCCATATGGGATAAAACCCAGCACAGTGAAATCAATCCTCTTATCCTTAACACTTTTAAATCAGTAGACTATCGAGACAGTATACAATGGAAACATCTAGGACATTCTAGTCTTAAAAACTGTGGTTGCCTAAAATTTCATCTTCCTTGACTATAGATCTGTAATGAAAATGTACTGGAGCCTTACAACATGTTTTACTGACACCAAATAACTTCAGATACAGAAGAAGAAGACATCGGCTGCTAGCTAGGGTTGATTCAATTCACACAACCTAATTATATTCAATAGAGAATAAACTACAAATAACAGCAGAAGGCATGCTACCAGAAAGGAGAGGAAGGGGTCGACCAGCATGAAGATGGGTACAGGATATAAGTTACTCCTTGAATATGAAAGTACAAGAGGTGGGAGAGCTGGCGAGAGACTGAGTTTCTTTCGGGTAGACCGTGATGAGAGCCATGTTCTGCAAAGGACCTACTACTTGATGATGAATGACATCTTGGGGAAAAAAGTGAAACAGTAAAGTGCCTTTATCCTGTCAGTGGTGCTCCAGCATATGATGCTAGATTCATAATTTTACAGACAAAGTTGGCCCTCATTGGATGATGTGGTTAACATCACGGTGGCCACTTTTACCTCCCAGGACGTTACCTTGTACACATTTTTGTTTCGGAAATAATTTTCAATAAACCCCCAGTGAGTTGCTTGGTAAGTTCATATTTTAAAACTACTGCAGAATATAAATACTTCATTGTACAAAAATTATTACCATTATGATAACTAAATATAAACACAAGTTTTATACATCACATAAATATACAAAAACAAGATAATAATGCTAGCAAATAATATTACTACAGAAGCAACATTAAATATAAATAGAAGCAACAACAACAAAAACAACATTGCGTACATAAAATGAAGGGCCCAGAATATATGGGATTTAAAAACAACAAAAGCATAATTTAAATGATGTAGACACCAACAACTTTGTCCACAGATGACTTCTGTACTGGTTTATTTTATTATTATACTGTTGTGGCAATGCTATGCAAGTTTGAACCTAATTCTGCCATTTTTCTTCCTTCTGCTGTAGATAGATCATGGTCGCTCCATTAGAAGTTTGCACCAAAGAGGAACAACAAGCAGTGATAAGATTCCTCTGGTCAGAGGCTGAAAAAGGTTCAGAATTCATCATAGACTATTACTGCACTATGGAGGAAGTGACTATCATGTAAAACTGTGTTTTGTGGATCGAGAAGTTTAAAAGTGGTAGAACAAGTGTAACGCATGAAGAGGGAACAGGACAGCCATGAGCCTCCACTACAGATGTCATTCAGCTAGTAGGTCTGGCAAACAGGCGAATTACCATCGATGATGATCGATCTGCATTAAACAATAGTCATGGTTCTGCCCATCAAATGATCGCCGATGAGCTCAGCTTTCATAAATTCTGTGCTTGGTGGGTACTAAGAAAGCTTACAGCAGAGCAAAAGCTCACTTGTGCAAAATGTGGTGCAAAAGTGCTTCAAGACCAATCAAAAACCTTTCATTTAGATGGAATATGTAAGCTTGTTGACCGTTAGGCAAAGTACAATGAAAAGGAGGAAAATTACATAGAAAAATGACGTGCACAGTGAAACCCTAGCTGCATGTAAAAATATTGTAGAATGAAAAGTGTAGATAATTTTTTACTCTCCCTCTTACAATGATTTACAAAAATTCCATTTAAATAATTATATATAGAAAGATACACTTTAAACATATATTTGAGGCCCTTCAATCTGTGTTACCACTAGGCATAAAATAAACACTCAGTGAAATCTATAAATTTATATATATTCTATTCTATATATATATATATATATATATATATATATATATATATATATATATATATATATATATATATATATATATATATATATATATATATATATATATATATATATATATATATGGAAGTTAGAGGCACACTAAAATCAGCAATTATAATATAGGGTGCCCTGAATCTCACCTCAGGTTCAACTGCATCCTCCTGTTCCTGCTTAACCAATTTTGCCTTCTTCTTCTTTCCTTTCCTCTTTCTTTGAGGAGCTTCTAACGTCTGCAATATTTTATATTTAATCTTCGAAAATTTTCAGCTTTACAGCAATTTATATGTCTCTAGCATCAACTTCACTGACAGTCTTCAACAAATTCGTCAAATGTATATCCCATGGAACATGGGGGTCACATTCTTCTTACACATGTTCAACCATGTCATCATATCCTCCTCTTCTCCTGTTGCACCAATAACACTATGGTTCTAGATCTATGAAAGAGGGTGAGATTGTTCATTTACATATGTATGTCCCCATACATGTCTCTAAACTGTACACAGCTGTTAAGAGGAACTTAAAAACAAAGAATTGCTTGAAACGATGACATACAGACTTGCTTCAACTGATAACATACAAAGTTGCTCTGCGTGCAGTAAAGTGGTTTCTTCAAAGACGCAGCATTATGTATTTGGCTATTCTTTTACACATGCTTGCTTATGCAACTATCTTTATGTATGTTTTTATGATAGCGAGAAAATAAAAGTAGGGTAGGAGGGCAGCGAGAGAAGAAAGGAGAGAGGGAAAAACAAAGAGAGATTAGGAGAGAAGAGAGAGAAGGAAAGGAATAGAGTGGAAGGTAACAGAGAGAGAGGAGGTGGGGGGGGGGGGGGGGGGGGGAGGGGTTAAGCAAGATTAAAGAGGGGTATGTATAATGTTTAAATGTGACCCAACCAAATATATTCAGACTGAAGAGAAAGTTGAGAACAAACTGGCAAAATTCAATAAACTCAAGCATTTGTAAGAAATTAAAAACAATTTGTAATCACAAATTCAATGAAGTAACATTAAATGACAACAACAGCAAATTTGGGAGACAGCAAATGACAACAAGCAGTTGCTAGAAACTGACAAATGATAACTGTCTAACAGGAAATGGTAAATATTGACAACAACAAAGGATTTATATTATAACCCACTATGGCAGTTGGTAATATGCTGTTTGGCTTACATTTTCAGTGACAGAAACACACATTTGGCCAGGACTGTGTGGCTGCTTTGAAGTTTTATAAATTCCTCTTTTGCATTTATCCTTAAAAGGATGGTAGGTATACTGCATGGTGGTTTACAGCCTGGCTGTGATATCTGCGGCTTTCGGCCTAGCACATCCAGTTTCAGCAAACCCTTTATTAGTGACCTTGTATGATTTGCTTGTTAGGGAAAAGTGGGTTTATTCTTTTTTTGATATGCTTGTTAGAAAGAACAAGTCAGTCATTTCAAATATTTAGGATCCATTTTAAGTGACCTGGGGTCAAGACCAGAAATCACGTCGAGGATTGCTCAGACTTGCGAAACAGCAAACATTATGGAGATACAAAAACATTTCATGCAAAATAAGATTTGATTGCTTAGAACACTAGCTATTTGTAAATTCACATATAGCCATGAAACCTGGACCCTAACAGCTGAACTCGAAAGAAAGATTCATGAATTGGAAACGCGATGTTGAAGACAAATTCCTGGCATATCATACAGAGACCACATTACAAAGGAAGAGGTTCGGCATATAATTATACAGTACACTGGCAACTATTGGCCTCTTCTATCTACAGTGAAAAGGCAAAAAATACAATGATATGGACATTTAATCAGATCTAAAAGCCTCTGAAAAACAATACTGCAGGACTCAGTAGAAAAAAAGAGGCAGACCAAGAAAGACCTGGTTACAAAATCTGACTGACCGGACAGGCCTCAGGAATGCAAACATGAAGTCTATCACAACTGACCGCCAAAGATGGAGAGAGCTGATCAGACAGTCGACAGAAACTGATGACCCAATGACATGGGGCGTTACAAAATGATGATGATGTTAGGAAAATAGTGGGTCTATTCTTTTTCCCCCTAAAATGGAGCCCTGGAACTCACACGGGAAACGAGAAATCTGATACTAGACCGACACTGTATGACATACCTGAGAGTTATCGTTCTGTGTCTGGAATGTGGAAGGGGGTGCGTGGCTCATGTTCTGTAGCGATGGAGATCGAGAGCCTCCATGTGATGGGGCCACAGGCATGGGCAGACTCTCCATATCAACATCATCATCATGTATTAGTGGTGACGAGCTCGTTTCTTTCAGATTGGGTCGTAGCCGATGACTTCCTGAATTAGGGGCCAGGTCTGAATCTTTATGAAATGGATACATTAGTGACTTTAATAAATGGTAACAGTAAAATTACAGATTACAGAGATTCATTAGATGCATCTGCACATAACAGAAAGACATAATATGATTTGCAGAATGACTACCGTGGAATGTAGGGAAATAACTAAAGTTCTTTTAAATCGAGAGGTGGGGACAAAATGCAGGTGATGAAAAGGACAAAAACTTAGATAGGCTGCTAACATCATCATCATCAGGTGCCTTGCCGACTGGCGTGGGCGATCATGCCTCTCCATAATCTGCGATCTCCTGCAGCATGTATCAGTTCGTGTGCCGACACTCCTCCATGCCATGCAACAAAACTGTCAAGCATCTTCTCTCGTTGTCTTCCTCTATCTCTCCTTCCAAAGATCTTTCCAGTGGTCACAACATGTTCTATTTTCCCTCTTCTCATAACATGGCCGAAAAATGATGACTGTCTCTTTCTGATGTCTGTGATAAACTGTCTTTGGGCTCTCGCCTCTTTCAAAACCTCTTGGTTGCTCTTTTTGGCTGTCCAAGGTATTCTAAGCATTTTTCTGTAAAACCACATCTCTGAGGCCTCTAGAAATTGTTTGGCCTGCTTACCACTAATAGAATAACAAAAAAGTCAATTCTCAGGGGTTCATAAGGCAAAACAAAAGAGAGAGAGGCAGACCTAAAAACACATGGAGAAGACGATTAGAGAGTTCTTCTTTTCTCTACTCCTGGAAATCCTTGCAGCATCAGGACAGGAAGAGATCTCTGGAATTGGCCCTTCTGTTCGCTTTATATAAAGTACCTTTCGGTGTCTCAGATATTTCTGCAGTCCACATTCTACGTGGTCGACCTCTGAATCTGTTACTGTGGTATCTGTATAACATGGCTCTCTGTGGTGCCCTGTCTGATGCCAATCTTGTTACATGGCCAAACCATTTGATTTATTGTCTATCTTGAAAGTTCAGTATTGGTTCTCTGCCGACTCTCCTTCTGACATCATCATTCCTCAGTTGATCTTTCCTTGTTACACCTAGCACAGTACATTTTATTTGTGTCATGACTATTTTCCTTCTGTCTTCTGAAGACAGTCAAAATCGTGTTTTTAAATCCTTAGCAATAAGGGCACAGAAAATGTAATATGTCCGTAGCAGCCTATATAATTATGTCTTTAGCAGCGAAAGGGGTTTAAAAACCAACAAAGGCGGGGTGAGCTGCTTGGTACAGAATAAAAACCATTGTTGGTGGACAGCAGCCCAGAAAGAACAAAATGACCAACTGACTGTATTTAATAATGCTGCTAAGAGCCTTAGGTCTCATATACTGTCAGTCATTTCTGATACAGATGTTCTTACATGTCATGATGCCTAATATCCTCTCTCTTGGTCTCCCTCTGGCTCTCTTGGTCTCTCTCTGGCTCTCTTGGTCTCCCTCTGGCTCTCTTGGTCTCCCTCTGGCTCTCTTGGTCTCCCTATGGCTCTCTTAGTCTCCCTATGGCTCTCTTAGTCTCCCTATGGCTCTCTTAGTCTCCTTCTGGCTCTCTTGGTTTTCCTCTGGCTCTCTTAGTCTCCCTCTGGCTCTTTTAGTCTCCTTCTGGCTCTCTTGGTCTCCCTCTGGCTTTTTTAGTCTCCCTCTGGCTCTCTTAGTCTCCCTCTGGCTCTTTTAGTCTCCCTATGGCTCTTTTAGTCTCCCTATGGCTCTCTTAGTCTCCCTCTGGTTCTTTTAGTCTCCCTCTGGCTCTCTTGGTCTCCCTCTGGCTCTCTTGGTCTCCCTCTGGCTCTCTTCCCCTACATCTTTTCTGTTGTTATGATGTACTGCAGTTTTCTCATTCTCATCACATGCTTGAAAGATGTGGATGGCCTCCTTATGATGAGGGTAACCAGTTATCTTTGTGTTTTAATTTTTCTCATCTTCATTGAGGTCATGGCCGGTGTGTTGGGAATTGAGCAGACAGATAGACTGGCTGGTTCTGTACCACTTGGTGGTGAATTGATGAATGACAGGCTGGATGTTGTCAGGGCCTTTAAAGAGCGCGTGAACAGTGTGGAGGCACAAATAGATCATTTTAGTCTGAGGAGAATGGCACTGCAGGGAGTTACTAGGGCATCCGGCGGACGCTCAACACTCAAGGGAAGGGAGAGACGGTTATACAATCAGACAGTTACTGGTACAGTCGGAACTAGAATTCTTCGCTTGCTGCTATAGATGGGGATGGAGTGCTTATGAGAATGTCCGGAATGTTATTATACTGATTCTTAATTGAACATTCAATATTCATTGAAGTCATCTTCAGTATGCTTTTTAACTGTCTGTGTTATTCATAATCATTCTTTTATAAAAACACAGCTTCAATATAGTATCTCACTAATCAAAACATCGTCCATAACTGCTGACTTTTATTCACCAGCGTTGGCTCTATTGATCTCATTCTTACCGTTAGCGTTCTTTGGATATTTTCTCCAGGAATGCCAGTGTGTTTAGAAATGATTAGGCAGATAGAGTGGCTGGCTCTGCACCACTTGGTGGTGAATTAATGTATGAGAAGCTGGATGTTGTGAGGGCACTTTGGGAGTGAATGAATAGTGCGGAGGCATTATATCATTACAGTCTGAGGAGAATAGCGCTGCAAGGAGTTACCAGGAGATCTGGCTGACACTCGACTTTCAGGCAAAGGCAGATGTACAATCAGACTCTTCGCTTGCTGCTGAAATGGGGATGGAGCACTTATGAGAGTGTCCTGAGTGCTGTGATACTGATTCTTAATTCAACACGTTTAGGATTTATTTAGCAATATAAGGCGGTCAAGTTTTCTTTTTCATAACAGGTTACGCAGGTGTAAAAGGAAAGGAATAAGCTGACAGGCTTGCAGGTAAGGCTGCAGGGGAGGGTGGATAAGCCATAAACTAGGTTGATATACTGAATGCTCTTTGAGAAGTAGGACATTTATGATGACTTTGAATCTGTTACCATGATCATACTGCAAGAACAGCAACTTAAAATGGTTGAGGCTAAACAGGAGCACTATGCAGGAAGGCAAAGAAGAAGAATAAACCAACACAGAACTGGTGTTGTCCGCTGCTAACTATGGGATTTACTGAGCAGGCGATCCAAGGACTTATGGACTGAATGCTTTAATGTGCACTGAAGACAATCTATCAACTAACTTATCATATAGACATCATAGGTAAATTTTTACAGCAGTTACTACCTTTTGAATGATACACCATATTAAAGCGTCAGCATGAGGTAGACAGCGATATAAGTAGTAGTATTATATGAAAAGATCAATGAACAACAGTCTCAGAGAGTGTCCAATTAGGAGATCTCTTTAGTATAGGTTCGAATACGGTCCTCTTCTGTGAGGGAATAAAGAACGGATCCACTGCACCCTTTGACAAGCATGCTGCAGGAGATTACTAATTAGGAGTTTGCTAAAATCAGATGTGTTGGGTTGAAAGTTGCAAATACTTCAGCCTAGCTGTAAACAACAACATAATGTAGGAATCCTTTTTTTCCCCAGGAAAACAAAAAAGAAAGAAAAAAGTGGCAAGTAGGAACAGAAACAGAGTGTAGGAGATCCACTGCATATACACACATGCTTTAACATGCATGAAAACACATACACACATACACAAATTCACCCACAAACATACATACGCTGTAAATCACAGCAAAACATACGTACATATTTTTAAGGACAAAACAAAGAAGTACAACTATGAAGAACAGTGAGTACTGTGAGCCCCTGCAGCTGATATTCACTGTGAAGGCAGCATTCACTGCGGAGACATGTGACTGAAAAGATGTGAGCAATTGGTGCAAGATTGTCTCATCCAAAATTTTAATGTCGCTTTCACAAATTTGGGTTAACTATTTGCATAGTGTTCAAAAGCTCTACTGATTTTATAAGTGATATTAAAAAAGACATTTATAATTTATACTTAGGGCAAAATGAGACCAAATGTTTAACCTTCATCACTCACCTGTTGGGATTGTGGGAATGTCATCACTGTCTGTATCACTCATGTCTTTTGACTCATCTTCTGTCACATCACGAACCATCACCAAAGTATTACTGTCTCTGCGTGGCTCTGCAGACCCTGTCTCTAGGTGAGCAGCTGGTCCGTTATAAGCTGTGAATATAGAAACCTTTATAAATTGCCAACATAGAAACTGTCATTAATGGTGAACATAAAAACCATTAAAAGCTGCAAACATAGAAACTGTTTTCTGTGAACATAGAAACCGTTATAAGCCATAAAGACAGAAACTGTTATAAGCTGTGAACATAGGAACCATTATAAGCTGTCAACATAGAAACTATTACGAGCTGTAAAGACAGAAACTGTTTTAAGCTGTGAACATAGAAACCGTTATAAGTTGCCAACATAGAAACTGTTATCTGTGAACATAGAAACCGTTATAAGCTGCAAACATAGAAACTGTTATAAGGTGTGAACATAGAAACCATTATAAGCTGTGTACATAGAAACCATTATAAGCTGTGAACATAGAAACTATTAAAAGCTGTGTACATAGAAACCATTATAAGCTGTGAAAGTAGAAACTATTATAAACTGTGTATATAAAACCATTATAAGCTGTGAACGAAGAAACTATTATAAGGTGTGGAAAAAAAAACCGTTATAATCTGTGAACATAGAAACTGTTATCTGTGAACATAGAAACCGTTAAAAGGTTTGAACATAGAAACCGTTATAAGCTTTTATAAACTGTGAATATAAAACCATTATAAGCTGTGAACATAGAAACTATTATAAGGTGTGAACATAGAAACCATTATAGGGTGTAAACAAAGAAGCCATTATAAGCTGTGAACATAGAAACCATTATAAGCTGTCAACACAGAAACCACATTATAAGCTGTGAAGACAGAAACTGTTATAAGCAGTGAACATAGAAACCGTTATAAGCTGTGTACATAGAAACCATTATAAGCTGTGAACGTAGAAACTATTATAAACTGTGTATATAAAACCATTATAAGCTGTGAACGAAGAAACTATTGTAAGGTGTGAACACAGAAACCATTATAATCTGTGAACATAGAAACCGTTATAAGCTGTGAACATAGAAACCGTTATAAGCTGTGAACATAGAAACTGTTATCTGTGAACATAGAAACCGTTATAAGGTGTGAACATCGAAACCATTATAAGCTATTATAAACTGTGTATACAAAACCATTATAAGCTGTGAACATAGAAACTATTATAAGGTGTGAACAAAGAAACCATTATAAGGTGTGAACATAGAAGCAGTTATAAGCTGTAAACATAGAAACCGTTATAAGCTGTGAACATAGAAACTATTATCTGTGAACATAGAAACTGTTACAAGGTGTGAACATAGAAACCATTATAAGCTGTGAAAATAGAAACCGTTAAAAGCTGCCAACATAGAAACTGTTATCTGTGAACATAGAAACCATTATAAGCTGTGAACATAGAAACCATTATAAGCTGTCAACACAGAAACCACATTATAAGCTGTGAAGACAGAAACTGTTATATGCTGTCAACATAGAAACCGTTATAAGCTGCAAACATAGAAAATGTTATCTGTAAACATAGAAACTATTATAAGGTGTGAACATAGAAACCATTATAAGCTGTGTACATAGAAACCATTAGAGGCTGTGAACATAGAAACCATTAAAAGCTGTGTACATAGAAACCATTATAAGCTGTGAACATAGAAACTATTGTAAGCTGTGTATATAAAACCATTATAGGCTGTGAACGAAGAAACTATTATAAGGTGTGAACAAATAAACCATTTTAAGGTGTGAACATAGAAGCCGTTATAAGCTGTAAACATAAAAACTGTTATAAGCTGTGAACATAGAAACTATTATCTGTGAACATAGAAAATGTTATAAGGTGTGAACATAGAAACCATTATAAGCTGTGAAAATAGAAACCGTTATAAGCTGCCAACATAGAAACTGTTATCTGTGAACATAGAAACCATTATAAGCTGTGAACACAGAAACCATTATAAGCTGTCAACACAGAAACCACATTATAAGCTGTGAAGACAGAAACTGTTATAAGCTGTGAACATAGAAACCGTTATAAGCTGCAAACATAGAAACTGTTATCTGTAAACATAGAAACTATTATAAGGTGTGAACATAGAAACCGTTATAAGCTGTGTACATAGAAACTGTTATCTGTGAACATAGAAACCGTTATAAGGTGTGAACATAGAAACCATTATAAGCTATTATAAACTGTGTATACAAAACCATTATAAGCTGTGAACATAGAAACTATTATAAGGTGTGAACAAAGAAACCATTATAAGGTGTGAACATAGAAGCAGTTATAAGCTGTAAACATAGAAACCGTTATAAGCTGTGAACATAGAAACTATTATCTGTGAACATAGAAACCATTATAAGCTGTGAACATAGAAACCATTATAAGCTGTCAACACAGAAACTACATTATAAGCTGTGAAGACAGAAACTGTTATATGCTGTGAACATAGAAACCGTTATAAGCTGCAAACATAGAAACTGTTATATGTAAACATAGAAACTATTATAAGGTGTGAACATAGAAACCATTATAAGCTGTCAACACAGAAACCACATTATAAGCTGTGAAGACAGAAACTGTTATAAGCTGTGAACATAGAAACCGTTATAAGCTGCAAACATAGAAACTGTTATCTGTAAACATAGAAACTATTATAAGGTGTGAACATAGAAACCGTTATAAGCTGTGTACATAGAAACTGTTATCTGTGAACATAGAAACCGTTATAAGGTGTGAACATAGAAACCATTATAAGCTATTATAAACTGTGTATACAAAACCATTATAAGCTGTAAACATAGAAACTATTATAAGGTGTGAACATAGAAACCGTTATAAGCTGTGTACATAGAAACTGTTATCTGTGAACATAGAAACCGTTATAAGGTGTGAACATAGAAACCATTATAAGCTATTATAAACTGTGTATACAAAAACATTATAAGCTGTGAACATAGAAACTATTATAAGGTGTGAACAAAGAAACCATTATAAGGTGTGAACATAGAAACCATTATAAGCTGTGAAAATAGAAACCGTTATAAGCTGCCAACATAGAAACTGTTATCTGTGAACATAGAAACCATTATAAGCTGTGAACATAGAAACCATTATAAGCTGTCAACACAGAAACTACATTATAAGCTGTGAAGACAGAAACTGTTATATGCTGTGAACATAGAAACCGTTATAAGCTGCAAACATAGAAACTGTTATATGTAAACATAGAAACTATTATAAGGTGTGAACATAGAAACCGTTATAAGCTGTGTACATAATAACCATTATAAGCTGTGAACACAGAAACCATTTAAAGCTGTGAACGTAGAAACTATTATAAAGTGTGTATTTAAAACCATTATAAGCTGTGAACGAAGAAACTATTATAAGGTGTGAACATAGAAACCGTTATAATCTGTGAACATAGAAACCGTTATAAGCTGTGAACATAGAAACCATTAAAAGCTGTGAACATAGAAACCATTACAAGCTGTGAACATAGAAACCATTATAAGCTGTGAACATAGAAACTGTTATAAGCTGTGAACGTAGAAACTATTATAAGCTATTATAAACTGTGTATATAAAACCATTATAAGCTGTGAACGAAGAAACTATTATAAGGTGTGAAAATAGAAACCATTATAATCTGTGAACATAGAAACCGTTATAAGCTGTCGACATAGAAACCACATTATAAGCTGTGAAGACAGATACTGTTTTAAGCTGTGAACATAGAAACCGTTATAAGCTGCAAACATAGAAAATGTTATCTGTAAACATAGAAACTATTATAAGGTGTGAACATAGAAACCATTATAAGCTGTGTACATAGAAACCATTATAAGCTGTGAACATAGAAACCATTAAAAGCTGTGTACATAGAAACCATTATAAGCTGTGAACATAGAAACTATTGAAAACTGTGTATATAAAACCATTATAGGCTGTGAACGAAGAAACTATTATAAGGTGTGAACAAAGAAACCATTTTAAGGTGTGAACATAGAAGCCGTTATAAGCTGTAAACATAAAAACCATTATAAGCTGTGAACATAGAAACTATTATCTGTGAACATAGAAACTGTTTTAAGATGTGAACATAGAAACCATTATAAGCTGTGAAAATAGAAACCGTTATAAGCTGCCAACATAGAAACTGTTATAAGCTGTGAACATAGAAACCATTATAAGCTGTGAACATAGAAACTGTTATAAGCTGTGAACACAGAAACCACATTATAAGCTGTGAAGACAGAAACTGTATAAGCTGTGAACATAGAAACCGTTATAAGCTGCAAAGCTGTTATCTGTAAACACAGAAACCATTATAAGCTGTGAACATAGAAACTGTTATAAGCTGTGAACATAGAAACCATTTATAAGGCTGTGAACATAGAAACCATTATAAGCTGTGTAACATAGAAACCATTATAAGCTGTGAACATAGAAAACATTATAAGCTGTGTACATAGAAACCATTATAAGCTGTGAACATAGAAACCATTAACTGTTATAAACCGTTAAGCTGTGTACATAGAAACCATTATAAGCTGTGAACATAGAAACTATTATAAACTGTGTATATAAAAACATTATAAGCTGTGAACGATAGAAACTATTATCTGTAACATAGAAAATGTTATATAAGTGAACATAGAAACCATTATAAGGTGTGAACATAGAAACCATTATAAGGTGTGAACATAGAAACTGTTATAAGCTGTGAACATAGAAACCATTATAAGCTGTGAACATAGAAAATGTTATAAGCTGTGAACATAGAAACCATTATAAGCTGTGAAGACAGAAACTGTTATATCTGTGAACATAGAAACCGTTATAAGCTGCAAACATAGAAACTGTTATCTGTAAACATAGAAAAAACCATTATAAGCTGTGAACATAGAAACTGTTATATAGCTGTGAACATAGAAACCATTATAAGCTGTGAACATAGAAACCATTATAAGCTGTGAACATAGAAACATAAGCTTATAAGTGAATGTAGAAACTATTATGTACATAAAAACCATTAACATAAAACCGTTATAAGCTGTGAACATAACAAGAAACTATTATAAGAAACTATTATAAGGTGTGAACATAGAAACATAGAAACCTGTTATTATAAGCTGTGAAACCGTTATAAGGTGAAAAACCATTATAAGCTGTGAACATAGAAATTGTTATAAGGTGTGAACATAGAAACCATTATAAGGTGTGAACACAGAAACCATTATAAGGTGTGAACACATAAATTGTTATAAGCTGTGAACATATAAAAAAAACAAGTCTTTATTTAGCCTCGCTATTGTCAAGTGAAACCATAAGCTGTGAACATAAGAAACCATTATAAATAATCTAAACTGTGATACAGCCTTTGTTTAGCCCGGAAAAACGTGAATTGCTGTCAGTATACCAACATGACTGTGAAGACAGAAACATATAACATAATCTAACATACAGTTGTTTTTTTTAGCCAGGCGGACATTAGTGTACCAACATGACATATAACATAATCTAACATACAGTCTTTGGATAGCCTGGCCATTGTCAGTGTACCAGTGGACATGATCTTAAACTGTCTTTGTTTAGCCTGGCTAATATAGTGGTATAAACATGAGATATAACAATTCCCCTATTATTACTTCACTAGTATTTACCATACAAGAATTACTTTACCAATATTTACTACACAAGAATTACCTCACCAGTTTTGTGACTACACATAGAAACCGAATGCTGCCAAACATAGAAACCTTATCTTCATCATTACAAGTATTTATTATAAGCTACACTTAGTAGTTACTTCACTAGTATTATAAAACTGTGTATATAAAACATATTATACACTGTGTAGTATTGACATTATGCCAACAGTTTTACCTACTGTATTTATACCAAACTAGAATTATTTCACTAGTATTTACTACACTAGAATTACTTCCCAGTTTTTACTTCTCTAGAATGACTTTATCAGTACTTTCTAAATAAGAATTAGTTAAAGTAAAGTAAAGTTCCCTTTTCACGCCTTTCGGCCCATCGGGCATATGGGCAGAGCGTCCCATATTTTTACAGACCATCAGCACTCTGTGGGTAATGTGGTCAGCATTACGCCGGCTGTCTTTACTTTCCCAGGACAGCCCATCCTGGTACCCATTTTAGGCTGGGTCGACGTGCGATGTTTGATAAATAAGAATTACTTCAGTGTATACCAATTATAATCACTTCATAACCATTTACTACACTAGTTTTCATTCACTAGTATTTACAAATTTGAATGATTTCACTAGTATTTACTAGCAAGGAAATAATATTTACAATTCTGAGAGCATGCATCTTCCATGTAGCAACCTACGAATTTGAGTTGTGGGGGCTTTTGAGCTGAAATGCTATAGAAAATTCTCAGAATACCATGGAAGAAGAAGAAAAGACATACTGATATTTTGAAGGATCTGAACATCGAAAAAAAATTGGCTAATAAACAGCATCTTGTCTTGGAAGCTGCAATATTTTGGTAGTATCAAGCTGCATGGCAGATTAGAAAAAATTATAGCAGAAGACATGGTACCAGGAAGGAGGGTAGGGGCCTACCAGCATAAACGTGGAGACAGGATATAAGCGACTCCTTGAATATGAAAGTACATGAGGCGAGAGAGCGAGTTACTTTCAGTCAGACAGTGAGAGAGTGACGTTCTGCAAAGGACCCGCTACATGATGATGATGAGTATTCATTTCTCTAGAATTACGCACATGAATGAAATGCACACACACACATACACACACAGACATATGCACATGCACACTAACCATAAGTACAGTCGGACGTTTTTGTTTTCAAAGCAGTGTCCCCTTTGACTAGTGGTCGGCTTTCATCTGGTTTCTTGCGTCGTGGGGCAGAGTTTGGCCTGTTGTTGTCATTGGGCTGCATGATGATCTGCATCTTGCGTTTATTCTTGGTCTGCTGGTCAATGCGGGCCAGCTGGCTTTCCAGTTTGCTGTGTTTGTACTCGTCTGGAACACTGGGGAAGGACAACTTATGTGAACATACTTTGCATACTTGTGGCATGCCTTTCTGCCGGACACCAGGGAGGGAGGAGGAGGAGAAGAAGGAGGAGGAGGAGAAGGAGGAAGAGAAGAAGGAAGGAAAAATAAAAAAAAAGAATTATTGAGACCCTAGGTGTATTTAATAGTGAAAATACAGCGGTGGTTTCCCCTTGCCTTCCGCTGATTTGTTTACGGTTTAACTCTAATAGCCTTTAAAGAGACATACCCTGAAAGGTAGCAGAAGGGGGGGGGTGTATGGAGAGGTTATAATGCCCCCCCACCGATGGCCATGTCATGGAGTTTTGAGACATGTTGTCCTCTCAAAGAAAACTACCTGTTTTGGTCCATGGCAACCCAGGTGTGGGCTCAAAGACAACTTATCACAAACATCAGAAAGAGACAGTCATCATTTTTTGGTCATGTTATGAGAAGAGGAAAGCTGCAACATGTTGTGACCACTGGAATGATTTGTGGAAAGAGAGACAGAGGAAGACAACATAAGAAGATTCTTGACAGCCTTTTGCCATGACATGGAGAGGTGTCAACACATGAACTGATACACGCAGTCACAGACCGCAGATTGTGGAGAGACATGATCACCTACACCAGTTGGCAAGGCATTTGATGATGATGAGGTGGTATTTGTACTGTCACAAATGGATTAATGTCATGTGTGCTATTTCAGTTAGGTACTTATCACAAACCTGCCCACACGGCGAGTTTCTTCCCGTCCCATTTAGGCCACGGCAGGTCACATGGTCTGTCCTATGTTGCAGAGGTGTCAAGTAATCCTTATTTTCAAAGGTATAACCGTTGTCTCTTTTCTCATGTTGTTACCCCTCACTTGCGTGATTATTTCCATGCTGTGCTACTTATCCTACTGTTCAGGAGTATGGCAACTGCGATCTTTTTATATTCCTACATTCCTTGACAGTGGCTTCTTTTTCTTGGGAAAGGCGATGGGGGAGGGATGCCAAGAACATAGAAATACAAAAACATCCAAGTTACTATACTCACGATCAGTCGCGCCTTCACCCCTTCCCCCTGCAGTACTTCTTACTTGTACACAGGTGCCTGCATCGCCTCAAAAAGCCATATTACCACAAAACCTTCCACAAACATTATATGCGACGAGTGAATACCAAATGAAGCCATCTCATTACACCCCCACAACATATGAGACTGTGCGACCGGCTGTGGCATGAATGGGAAGGGAAGGAACTCTCGTTGTGTGGGCAAATTCATGATAAGTTCCTTCAGTTACAGCATCAGTACAAAAGTATAATCTCATTTGTATAACTTCATCTGTATCAGGTAAAGGTTTCGTTTCACACAACCGACATTACGACTACCATAAGGATTTGCAATTTTACCAGTGCTCTTTAATATGTAAACATGCAATACTGCAGTGTAATGAAAAAAAAAATAATAGAAAAGTTCATGGTACCAGGAAAGAGGGACAGGGGTCCCCTAGCATGAAGATGGGCACATGATATAAGTGACACCTTAAGTAAGAAAGTAAGTACATTAGGTAAAACAGCTGGTGAGAGACCAAGTTTCTTTCGGGCAGGCCGTGATGATAGTGATGTTTTGCACAGGACTTGCTAAATGATAACAATGACGGCATTCTATGGGTGGTAAGATCAACTTTACATGGCCACCTTTACCTTCCAAAATGTTTTTGGAACAACCTTAATCTGTGTTGAGCTGGGAGCTCTATGTCAATTATAAAAATCAGTCAAGATGTGGATTCAAATATAAGACCTTCACACTGGCAGACAAGCATCTAGCCACTGCATTACCATGATTTGTAAAACTGACCTAGCCACCCCCCCCCCTCCCCCCCCAGTTGACACAGCCTAAAACTGGTACCAGGAAATATCCTGTGCAGTCAAGGTGGCTAGCATAATGTTGAATACATCATCCATCAAGCACTGATTTATCTATAAAAAAAATTCAAGTCTAACACCACATGTCATATGTGCCAGTGTGTGAAAAAAATTGTATTTTATCTACTTCATCACCAAAGTTCCACCACACATACATACACAAACACACATTTGCACATGGGTATGTGCATACAGGCGCAGACTATTTTATCATTTACCTACACAAAGACTCCTTTAGAGAATGTGTGAATTTTTCAGACATCACCACATGGTTACATCACCACCATACACCCTCTCTCCCCCCCCCCCCCCCTTACCACGTGCCCACTATTTTATCATAAATGAACTAATAGATTCCAATTAAGACTTCTGTATAGTGAATGTTTCAGACATCACCCTGTTAGATGTTAAAGTAATACAAGTGATGGTTCCTTGTTAGAATATAATAAAAGCTGGCTCACTGCTTTATATCCTGGCAGAATCAGAGCTGGGAATTTTCCAGTTAGTTAATTACAGCCTGATCGATGACAGCATACAACAGCAGTGAACTGATCAACAACATCACAAACCTGAAGGTTCGGGTCACTGAGTCACTGGACAGAGGTCATGGAAATGATCAAAGCATGCTGTTGCCAAGGCAACAACTTGTAAACAAACCAGTGGTACATTGGGTATATTATGCCAGACTCATATTTTTATAGATCATCTGGCTTGGGGTGGGTGATGTGGTCAACATCAAGGGGGTACTGACCTCACGAGACATTACTTGGTACCCATTTTAGACTGGGTGGGCCTGGGAGCTAAGGTCACTTTTGAAAAGAAAAAAAAAACAGAATATGATTCCAAGTGTTCGAACCTAAGACATTTAAGCTAGTAGGTGAGAGTCTAGCCACTGTGCTAAAATAACTCCCATCTTGTAAACAAAGGGACACAGATATCTGGAAAGACTCACCTTCCGGGTGGGCCAGTCATCGTGGTAGTCTCTGCGACTCTGAAAGTACAAGAGGTGAGATGTCTATGATAACTGCATGGACAGATATGAGATGTTTTTGAAAATATATATGTAAACGTTGAATTCGATAATTTCTTGTCAATGACCTCAAGGTTTACACATTTTATTTATTTACCTGTATTATACACACGAAGTAGCTGGTTGCCAAAGAACTGGCAGTGTACCTTATGCAGTATGCGTGTGCACTGCATGTCTTTTAATAAACTGCTGCTGGTCTCATCAATTATTAAACTATAATATATTATTATACTTTATTTAAGGTCTCAACAGATCTTTCTCAGGTTTAACATTTACTTATTCTTTTGTTTCAAAAAGTGTGTCGTTACTTTAATTCAGGGTTTTATCAGGGTTAACACATTATTTGATGATCTTGTCTGGGTAGAACATCCTTTATTTCGATCAAGTCTAACTTTATTGTCTGGCTCAATTCTTTCTTTTATTATGTCATTCAAAGATTGTCACCATCATTACTTCATTAGCTGTGCCCTGTGTACCCAACCATGTCAATGCTATTGTTACCGCCATGCTCATGGCTGTGAGACTTTTTACTATAACAGCAGAGACGCCACTCAGCACCCTGATGAGTTTATCACCTCGGCTCACTGTAAAAGTAAATAAACTTCATTCGCCCCGAACCCCTTTTATTTTATCTGCATAAACAACCGCATGAGCTTTATCTGTGATCCCATCAATCAGTGTTTGGACTAGACCGTCTGCTACACCAGCAATCTGCACTCTGCAGCTTCTGTCAAGGTGGCTATGGACCATATTATTGTTTCATGCAGCAGACAGAGATATCCAATAATTTCAAAAAGTGTCACTAAAGCGAAAGTATTGCTGGATGGCATCCCTACAAAACCCATCTAAGATTTGCCTCTTTTAAGTCTGTTCCTAAAAGTCTGAACAACCCGGTACTGAAGGTCTGTCACGACCAGCTCCAGATATAAGGGCGTACAGCTCAAACGGGAATTCCCGTTTTTGTGAGGCTGGTATGGTTGGTCCACGGCCAGCTCCAGGCCGTACAGCTCGAATGGGAATTCCCGTTCTTGTGCAAGAATTGAGTCCCTCTGCGTCCACAGTTTTTATCGAGGAGATGTATACACAAATTAAACTACAGTTTCATTAATTTTCGACATATTTTTTAGAACTATTCGTCATTTTTAAGGTAAATAAGTGTGCAACCAGAAGTTTCCGCAAGAGTTTACAGCCAGTGTTCGAGAAGCAAAGCAAAAGCCAGTTTACAAAAATTAACACAGACCGTAGAACTGCAAATATGCAAAAGAAGATGAGCAACCAGAAGTTTCCGCAAGTGTTTACAGCCAGTGTTCGCAAAGCAAAGCAAAAGTCAGTTTACAAAAATTAACACAGACCGTAGAACTGCAAATATGCAAAAGAAGATGAGCAACCAGAAGTTTCCGCAAGAGTTTACAGCCAGTGTTCGCGAAGCAAAGCAAAAGCCAGTTAACACAAATTAACACAGACCGTAGAACTGCAAATATGCAAAAGAAGATGAGCAACCAGAAGTTTCCGCAAGTGTTTACAGCCAGTGTTCATGAAGCAAAGCAAAAGCCAGTTTACACAAATTAACACAGACCGTAGAACTGCAAATATGCAAAAGAAGTGGATGAACTACCAGAAGTTTCCGCAAGAGTTTACAGCCAATGTTCTCGAAGCATAAGTCAAATGGTTAAGGATTAATATTATTAGTGTACTGCTACAACATATAATTATACTGTTAGTCAACAATTAGTAAAGAGGCAAAGAGTGACTTGCTGTGAGAGGTTAGTTAGTAAATTAAATATTATTTTCATCCACTTGCCTAGAGCTCCGAAATATCTTGACACAATTTATCCACAGTGTGGTTGCACCATTTATGAACAGTCAATATGAAAGCAATAGTTTTCGTCAAACACAAGATAGTTTGCACCTGACAACTGTCGATATTCTCCAGATATGGCTTCTAAATTACCTGTTTGTATTATCTCTAAAAGTAAGATTTCTACATTTAAAGTAGAAAAGTAATAAACAGCCAGTTCCCAAAAATCCGAACTACTGACTAGAAACAGTAACACTGACACACACATCACAACACGACTGTCTCCCGTGAATTACAATTAAAATTGCTGTAATCTAACAGTTTGTATGTCCACTTTACAATATCCGCTTGTCGATTTGTAATATGAATACAATCAGAACACAGAAGTTTGTAAGCATATTATAATGTCACAAAATGCAACATGGAAACGCTTGCAGTAACCTATTTCCGAGGACACTCAGCCAAAATGTGCCGTGATTCAGTTGTACGGCCTTACTGGAGCTGGCCGTGGGTTGGTCGATGGTAACAACTGTTATCGAGCATATCGAATAAATGGGCTATTAGGAAATATTTATCTTCAAAATTATAACTCATTCAATAACACATGTTGCAAATTAATTAACATATACTTCAATGTGTGTATAAATCTATTCGATACCAACAATTACCACCGACCAGCCACGCCAGCCTCACAAAAACGGAAATTTCCGTTTCAGTTGTATGGCCTTATAGCTAGAGTTGGCCGTGAGGTCGAAGTTCACCATGAGGAAAGTAGTGGCTTTGTGTCTTTGGAGAGCTAGATTTTGATATGCATAGTGGGGAAATCCAAGCGGTCGCAATGTTTTAGTAGTAGGTGTCCCTTGTTTACCAAAGCGTAGTATACATGTCTTTGTTTTCTATTGTTGACAGTTTGTTAATCTGTGGGGCTACTGAGTGTCGCGATAGCCAGCTATAATTCAATAGTGATGAGAACCACATCCTGTTTTAACTTTCAGTCCTGCCAACTGAACCACGGTACATTTTCGGGAAGTCCCCCTCGAAAATAGGTTACTGGCATCGTTTCCATGTTGCACTGTGTGACATCTTAATATGTTTACAAAGTCCTGTATTCTAAACATATTCGTATTACAAATCTACAAGCGGATATTGTAAAGTGGATATACAGCAATTTTAATTTTGACTTTAATTCACGGAAGTCAGTCGTGTTG